CATGTGGTGGCACCCAAACCTGTAGCAGCACAAGGTCTCCAAGAAGGTACGGGCGACCACATGTAGGGAGGATATTCTTCTCGAGTTTGCTTGATGTAACCGCCAGCGCTCACCTTCAGTCGGGGTCTACAAAGAAAATATCGGTCTTCCCCTTTCCAGGTACCCCGGTCCATACCATCAACTCGCGCCTCGGCGAATACGGTGAAGATGATGTCCTAGACCGTAGCGACGTTGCCGTAGCTGCTCGATGTGGGAGGTCTTGCAGATCAAGAGTACTGACCTCCAGGTAGCTATCTGTGGATGACTTCATTCAAGAAGTTTCGCAGCTGTTTGGAGGCGACGTGAATTCCAAAGGTGTTCTCCAGTCAGGCCGCGACTGGAGATGACTTCATATTTTGGCGTACATGAAGGCGATTGGCGGCAGCCTGCTCCAGCTTATAGAGGAAGATCTTGGGTATCTTCCACCCTGGTACTCATATCCACTTCCCCTGTCTGGGCTGCGAAAACTTCGTTGATATGTGGCTCGGCCGAAATGACTTTTTTTTTGGCCCCCCCTGTATTGTGGACAGATCAAGATTTATTCCTCTGGCATGTCTCGTCTATTTGTGAAATATGTAAAGATGAGGAGTTGGGGAGGGTACCTGAGCAGGAGCCTATCCGAGACCTCACCGGGAACTTGCACTACACTCGTCTCTCTGTGCTGATCAGTCCCCTTGTTGGATGCGCCACGAATTCTACTGCGATCTAGCCTATGCGGTGACTTCTGGGGCCAGCCAATCTTCAGGAAATTCTTTCCTTTGCCTCAAACAAGGCCCAAGGTACCTCGTCGGTAACATGGAAGTAGTTCTGTAATGCTGACAGAAAATCGATTGAGCTTTACCATCAAATAAAAGCTTTTCTCAGAACGCCTCGCGCAATATAAGGCTTTTCTCAGAACGCCTCGCGCACTTATTTCCACCCCATAATCGCGTTGTTCATCTGGATTTGATGTGGCCCTGCAATGACTCACGAGGGCCAAGCGATCTACAAATCAGGATACTTTGACCCCCCCCACCTCTCTCACCAGACAAGTCTAGCATCAACTATCGACACCGAAAAGTTTGGTTGACCATTGATCCGGTATTTGACCCGCTGACTGTGGACGTGGTAAGCGGAGCTGCCTGTAGCTGCACCAGCTCCGCTCAGGAGACTGCATCATCAGTCTTTTGCTTCACGATTTAGAAAATGGCCAAATGAGAAGAGCATAATAAGGGAATTGATATACCTGGGTACTTACTTATCGCTCACAATCAGAGAAGTATAGATGCATCGTGATCTTTGAAGTTGAAGATCAATAAGACAGATTTTTTCTTCCCGCAGCCAAAACGCAACCAGCGGAACCTTGCCGCCCCAGTCTGTGTTCTGTTCATCTTCTATCCATCGGTGTAAGAAAACTATTGCCCTCCTGTTCCCTTACCGAATTCTTTTGCTTCAAGATTGTTCTATATAAATCCAAGTTCCCTACGAAATACTGTTACAGATTGGTGTCCTTACTGTATTGGGAAATTAAACCACTCTTGTAACAATTGAGTAAGGCACTCTTAATAGTCACGTACCTCTCTAATATTGCTTATAAAATTGCGGCAGCCGAGTTGAAAATCCCTCATAGTTATGAAATATTTCCTTCAGGTTTATCGCCCTTCCTTTGGTGTGGGCTTTCGCTCAGAGTGACGTTGAATAAAATTTAGTCTTACTTGCATCTGTTTTACTTCGAGGCGGATTCTATTGACGCCGCATATCCCGGAACATGTAGGGGGTGGTATTCACATGCAGTCTTGTTCGCTACGGACGCTTGGGCGTTTGCGGGAAAGGGCTCGATGGCGTGACATCGCCTGTATTCTACCAATTGTGGCAATTGGTAGACCACCACAGTTGGTGTCGGCCCCTTTAAGACCTTCCCCCCCCCCTAGGACGTTGGACAGGGAGCATGACATTACTTACATGGGAGAACAGCGACTGGTACGTATTTGTAGAGAGCTTTTGGTCAGTGGAGAGAGGAGATGTCTCATTATTCCTTTGAGCAATAGTGTCCAGCTCCTCTCTTCATAAAATCTCGGCACTATTTTGAACTTAGTAGTTTTTTTTATTTATTGTGCCAAAGAGGTTGTTAGCAGGGAGACTTCATTGGCATTGGCCCTAAACGTCCTGACTGAATCTCCTCAAGAGGCGAGTCCTCAGACACATGAGGGAGACTATGTCACCTCGCTGTTAAAGTCGTCAGAGATTCACTGAGTCCTTTGAAAATCCGATCAACTGCGTTATAGCCAGTGCTGGTGCTAGAGGGGAATTAACTCGAGAATCCTTGCAAAAAAAAATTATACGCATTGTGCACGGTCTCGATTAGAGGGGCGGGTCCGGGGGGTTCGTCCGAATCCTGGCCTTTGCCTCTCTAGTTGTGCGACTCTCTGCTTCTTCAGTTCTCCAGTTCTCCCAAAACTTCCAGTGAACGCCACCAAGTTTCAATATCTATCTGAAAAGTTTTTGCGGGTTCTCTGATTCTCCAGCAGGATGCCGTGGCAAGCGAACATGGTGTCGTGCGATCGGCAGCCTTCGCCCATTCGACTAAATTGGCCAGCTGTGTAGCGTCGCACTGCTGAACATCAAGTCCCTGAGCACGCCCACCCAGCTCCAGGATATGAAATATAAGAGGGAGAAGGAAAACTAAACAGCGCATTTCGGAATTGGTCATTGGTGGACACCTTTACCTTTGTCTAATTGTATGCATGAGTCCCGTAAGCGAGCCATCCCCGTATACTGAAACCATGGGAGCATGCTTCGTATAAGTCACCGCTGTTTGGCAGTGAATCGGCCGCCTCCAACAACTGGGCTCTGCCTCCACCGCATCGACCATCTCCGGTAACTCGACCACATCCAACTACTCCTCGTTTCCCAGTAATCCAGCCAACTCGTACGACTCGAACTCCTCCTCCTCCTCCCACCTCCTCCAAACGACTCGACCAACCTCCTCCACCTCTCCACCCGTCCAATCGAATGATACGTGAGTAGGTACACGTTCATAGCCATAAACAATTGAGTCTAGTAGACGCCTACCTCCCTATTTTTGATAGCATATCACGGTCAATGCGGTCGCAAATGAGGTGTCTCTGAGGCCGATGATGGGTCAGCGTGTGAACCGACATGCAGGAATCCGAAACCGGTAAGGATTATTCTTGAGATATTTTGCCCCCTAATGCAGACCGGGGAGAGCTCTCTAACATTGGCGACGGAACTTGGAAGGCTAGGCTCATCATGCGCAAACTGCACTTGGTCCTTCTTCGTTTTGGTCCATACTTTCTGATAGCACTCGGTGGGTGCTACTGTTCTTCACGCCGAGTGTGACAACGACCTTGACGGGTGATTTAATCACGCCGCACCTTACCCTCGCCCCCCCACCTCCCGTACTCCTATGTCGGTCCTCAAAGTTGTCTATTATCAAGGATAGCCTGAGAAAATAGGAATTAATTCTTTGGAATTTGAAGATTTTTAAGGTCAGGGTGGTAGTTCCTCACAAAGCTTCCTGAGAACCCAATGAAGACATTCTGTTTTTAACTTTCACCGCTATTCGCTATATCAACAGGTCCGCTGTGGTACACTTCCCTCTATCAGAAAATCTGCACACTTCAATGCGTCGTTGGGTGTCGTTGCCGTGACGGTTTCTTCAGAGACGATAGGGGAGTCTGCGTAAAGGATTGTGGTCGTGAGTTTCCACGTTTGTTGTTTTCCCTTCAGCACCTTTTCCTGGGGCTATTTAAATAGGTTTGAACAAACATGAGGATAGAAGGATGAAGGATAAAATGATAGTGGTCCGAGGATGGGGACTCCAATCAAAACGAAGCTGTTCTCTGTTTTTCTACTCAGCACAGCAGAAAGCAGGTTCTTCAATCCAACGTCTACAATCTCTGTGCTGCAGTAGCTTAGTAAACTGGGCTACAGTCTTTCTAAGTACGCTGGGCAGCCCTGGCGGAGGGGGGGGGGGGAATGGCTGTGGGTTCGACAGCGGATCCTGACCATATTCTCACTAATAGTGGACGCCTGAAGACTTCACAACATTTTCGCTTTGTACAAAATATAAGAGAACTAACGACAAGTGCTAGCGGTCATTTGACAGCAAATGAGATCCCGCCTCGTCCCGCTCCGGACGACTGCGCACCAACCTCTGCAACGGACACGAACAGCTCCACCTCGCACGACTCGGCCACCCCCAGCTCCAGCTCGCCAAATAATCGTGAGTAGCTTAGCTCATACGTCATAGGGGAACTTAGACGGGAACAACTATGTGTCATTTACTTGGCGTCAACTGTTTAGAGTATTCAGAACAATCTTCCATTAATCGCAGTTTTCTATTTATCATCTAACCACTGCCATCCTTCAGTGCCTAATTTAATACAGCAGGAATACGCCTAGCTCCTTGTGGTCAGCAGGTCCACCGCGAGCCGCCTGGTCATCGCCTCTACCGCTCTTCGGCGCGCAATCGTTCACCCAAACAAACCGTTTTTTGCCTGCTGGACCGTCTCCAGCCACACTCACCCATCCTCCACTCTAATCAAATCCTACCACATGAACCCACCTAGACCATCACCACATCCATCGGCCCTTCCGTCGTCTGGCCCATCTTCCACCACCCAGGCGCACTCACAAACACCAGACATCGCCACTCCAACCTGGCCCTTCTCCCCTCCCCAACACACGTCTTCCACCACAGCGGGACGCACGGCATGCCGGACCAAACCGACGGTGCATACACCGTCATCACCCTCTCAGTCGCCGAGCGGTCGACCATCACAACCTCATGGACCGTCCCCAACATTCCGCCCAGGTAATCCAGGTTCACTTTTATTATTTCAATCTGTTGAAAAACTAAAAACTAATGCAGGAAGTTAACTGAACTAAACAATTCAGCTCCTCCTGCTCCAGCGCTAACTTGCGCAAACGCTGTCTGTCCTGCCGGATTCTCATGTCAGATGGTCACCACACAATGCCTCAGACCGCCATGTCCACCACCACAGCCGCTATGTTTGCGTATGCCGCCACCTCCTCAGCCCAGATGCCCTCGAAACGAATCATGGAGGACTTGTTCCACTCAGTGTGAACCAACGTGCAGCAACAGGAATCCTGTAAGTCTTGTCTTTAATCGATATTACGCGAACTTCCATGTGACTGTATCAAACCGGGGCGGGAGCACTTTTATAGTGACAGTATAATTGAGGGGGAAGGGGATAAGGAGATAACTGCTAAATTTAACATTTGCAGTAGTATTATATCGATTTGCAGACGTGTAACAAAGCCTGTGGACAGCCAAAATGCCAGTGTGATCCAGGATTCTTCCGCAACCGTTCCGGATCGTGCGTACGTAGCTCGGAATGTCCGATGAGGAACAGCCGAGAGTCGCTCGAAAGAGACAGCCGCGATTCACGAGAACGCATCAGGGGCTGAAGCCTTTTGAAGCCAAAAACTACCATATTCATTGCACGGAATTTTGCAAACTTCTTGTACCTGTTTTATTAGAAGATATCTATTTTTAAGAGATAAAAATGAAAATAATTTCTATGAAGCTTTTCCGATTTACAGAGCGAGCGCGAATACAGAGGAATAAGCGCTGCGCTGATTGTTAATGCTCTTTACTGTCAGTTTGCCTGTCGTGCTGAAAAAAAAGGAAGGGGAAGGATTCGTGCAAATTCCATGCCGGCGCCATGCTATTGGTGACAGATATCTGCACTTTCGCACGCGTCAAGCCTTGGGAGGGTTAGGGGAGGGAGGAGGGGGGGGGGTTCCGCAAAGCACTTTGTTACGATAGCAGCGGTTCACGGACGGTTACTCTCCGTTTGTCAGTTTTTCGAGCATATGCACAGTTCTGGTGGTTGTCTTCAGCCAGAACTTTTGCCGTTGGGCAGTCAAACCAGGCATCACCGTTACTTTTGGCTGGGAGCACACACGATTACTTGGGAAGTAAGACAGGGTGGGAAGGACTACTTCCGCAGTTTCTGTATGGCAAGGAGGCCAAGGACTTTAGAGCCGTCGGGTCTCCTCCCCCTCCTGACCCAACGTCTTTGCACGCAACGCTGCACGCTCGAACTAAATCCTTGCGCCTTTGTTGTCCATGCAGCTGGGTGGTCACCCTGGTCGGCTTTTTCTCCCAACTGTCCTCGCTCAGTGTTTCCTTAAGTCGCGCCATTGAATCACGGTACTATGAACGCTTCTATATCAATACATTCACATGAATAATTACTATGTGTGATACGAAAACATTGGGAATTTGAAGATTCATTTCGTACTGTTCTTTAGAAGAATTGGTACACATTTGGAATAAAACGTTCACGAACTCCATACTTTAGGCCCCCTCTTTATCTCCGACAACGTCAATATAGTCGTCGTCGAGCGTTGAACTTACAGCATCCTTTTCCTGAAAGGGATCCATGAATCATAGAAGATCATAGAAACGAGACACAAAAACTTGCTTCGCTGTCCAACATACGGAGCATGCTGGGTACAGAACACTCAGTACACTTACAGTCTTGCTCTGGCTTGTCGGCTGCGGATGCTCCGGCATGTTGCGGGAGGGGGAGAGGGCTGGGCTCGGCGTCAGCATAACTTTTACAAATATTGTCGTTTGCCTCTTGAGCAAAGAGAGAAGAACAGGCTCGCGCCAGGCCGAACCCAGTCCATCTGACTCGCCCCAGCTTCCCCAGCGAACAAGGCAATAACCACTACAAGAGATTTTTTCTAGAAGGACAGTCAGGAAAAGCTTGTTCCTCAATTCTGAGGGGAAAGAGCTTCGGATAGGTAGGTATTTCACCCGCTCCCGCAATCTTTCCGCACAGGCTTCGAAAAAAAAATCATCAACTTCCTGGCTCACAATGGATTCTTTGCACCTTCCGTAATAAAATGCCGTCCAAAATAAAGAAAGAAAAAAATTCCGCAAAAATGAAGCACACTGGACCTCGCAGCTATAAAACACTCTAATTCCACGTAGAAAGGTGGGACTACAGTAATGCGACGAACTGTTGCACAAAAATGTCCACCCGCCTCAGACTAGCGCCAGAATTCGTTTTCATAGTTCTCATTGCTCAACTAGCAAGCGTTCGGAATTATAAAAAAATGGAACTTACCCGCTCAATTTTTGTAGGAGGAGGAGGAGGGTCTGGCCACCAACCATCCCTTTTCCTTTTTCGCAACACCTTTTTCATTACTCGTTCACACTTTTCATCGAGAGACTGTTTCATTTGCTGTTTTTGTGACTCGTCCAGATGGAGTGGAACTGCAAATATTTCTGTTCAAAGAATGGAGGGGAATAAATTCCATGGAAAAGGGGCTGAAACACAACCACTTTCACCTGTTTCAAGAACGGCATCTGAAAACCGATCAACCGACACTTCAAGAGGGGTGTCGTTGGGCATTTCCTTGTTGAATACTGACCATTCTTCGTAAAACTGAAGCTTCGTTCGCTTCAGAACCGCGTCAACAACGTCTTTACCCTAGAATAGAAATCTTGAAAAGGGAATTTACCCTAGAGTTTGGACAATCAAGAGAAAAAGTCGAACGTAACGCATTGACCACATCACGGCGCTGCAATCAGTGGTATGGTCTCGTTCAGTGCGAAGGAAAGGGCGTGCCCGACGGGATGGGTTCGGCGCGTCGCCCCCGTTCTCTAGCCATTGTTGAAACGGGTAAGCAACAATAGTTGGTGAGAAACGATTGATAGGAACGACATGATGCATTCCTGTCGTTTGCTCACTTCAACAGCTGATGCAAAACGAGAAAACGCCAAACCGATGTCGCCGGACGGTCTCAGGATATCTGTCAACCGCGGAGCCTTCCTACTCCTTCCTTTTTCCTTCCTCCTTCCTTCTCTCTTCCCTTTTCTTTATTTTCCTTCCTCTAAATGCTCGACCAAAAGATGCGTTGAGAAAACATCCTGGTTCCTTGCAGCGAGAAAGCGTCCGGTTGACAGATGTCTTGTAACCGTCGCCGGACACACCCTTTCATGGAATCAAACTACATATATCAACTGTTTCCATTTGTATGCCAAACAGAAGCCCATTATACTGGGCGAAATTACATATGACAATTATTTCAGAGATTTACCGTTTTACCGGTGGTATTTCTGAAGAGTGAGGCGGAGGTGGTGTAGTGACAAGTGGCGCGCTTACCACTCGCGCGGCGCCGGGTTCAAATCCCGGGTCGACCCGCCCAGGCCAACCAAGCCTTCTACCCTCCGGGACGGTAAATTGGTACCAGATTCGTCTGGGAGGATAAAACACTGACTTGTACATCGGCTGGCCACCGCAAGTCATTGTATAGGCCACATCGCATTCAATAAGCCACTACGATTCTGAATGGAAGTAGAATGCGTGCCGCATCCCACAAAGGGATTGATCAACGGCGAAGACTTTATCCTTTTATCCTTTATTTCTGAAGAGTCAAATAAGAGAACAGACCTGACAGAAATGTTGTGCGTTCAATGGTGAGTCAGGATTCTCTCGAATGATATCGTTATCTATCAGAACGAGCGGAATCTTCAAGTGTTTTACTGGTTGACTCTGAAAATCAATTAATTAATACGTTGTACAACGCTGGGTGTCTGGTCAACACGTTCTAGTGTGTGGTTGGTAAATTCGAAATCGTTGGTTTCTCATGCAAGATGATAAGAACCTGTCGCGTTAGCTGGAAAAACTTTGTATTCAGGGAGTGATTGAATACTCCCGTCTATTCTATTTCATGATTGACATCAGGACACGTTCGTCGACAATACTTTCTTAGGCACCTTCTCTTGCTAATGCCATTTGAACTTGTAGGTGAGGCTGTAGGATGGTAAATTTAAAGTATGCTTTGGTAGACTGCCGCGGCTCGAACTGTGTTACCAGTTGTTTGATGAGCCGGAGGGGTGATGAACCCCTCGCTTGAGGTCCCCCTTGGTTTGTTCGCCTGGGGTCCCGGACGAATTCGTTCGTAACGGGTTAAGTTGTCAGCAAGCCCCAGTACTGTCGTCTAAAATCCTTGCGTTCAGAACCAAGGACCAGGATCTCGCGGGGGACTCTTTCATCTGCCTGAAGGGGAAAACAGCCTTACAATACACACAAGGAAGGTCCCGGTGATTTCTTCGATTCGCTTCGATACACAACCTATATGCTTTTCTTAGATTTCTCCTGAAGTATTCCTAGTTTTTTGCTTATTTTATGTTATTGTGTTGTTCCCATTTGTTTTTTATTAGTATTCCTCGCTGTGCCTTCCACTAATTGTATTTGTTCACTTTTTCCATAACAGGCGTCGAAAAAACCTTCTGGCTTCAGAACTGTGTACTGTACCGTTTCTTAGGATTTCAGCAGACAGATCATAACGGCTTCGCGTAAGCGTTCGAAGCTCAAAGGCGCCCCGCCTTTCTTTGATGTTCATACTTCTTCGAACAGGGTAACACTATCATGGGGATGTACTACTTTCGTAGCTAAAAATGCGTGAGGAAGCGCAACCTTCTCGCGACAAAGCCACCGTCCCGCCCACTGGCCGCTTTTGGGTTTCCTTGTCGTGTGATTGTTCCGCTACTAGCTCTTTCATTTTAAAGGTGAGTGGGAGGAGGCTAGATTTGACAACCACAAATGAGCGCTCGTCCGATCACCCCCTTTCTTGGCCTTATACTAGTGGCAACTGCGTTGCTGATGACTCGTTCTATAAAGAAATATCCAGTCTGAAATTTCGTTCAAAGTACGTGTAACTTTTTTAAACTTAGTATCTACCGATCTCGTCATCTTTCTCCCTTCATTTGCATGCATGCATCACAATTCCAAACACCAGGCCAGGGTACCTGTATAATTACACGGATGCCACAGAAATCATAGGAATGCGATTCTTGGAGGAGTTTTTCGCAAGTCAAATTTCATGAGTAGAAGGACAGCCACTGAAGCCGCGTCCATACTCAGCGCTGAAGTAGAGAATCAGGAAACCCGAGAAAAGCACTACCAAGGAAAGCCAAGCAGCTTATAGTCTGGTTCGCAGCGTATGAAGGGGCGTGTCAGTGCGGCTGCTTTGGCGCAGTGTCAAACCCGTTTCCCACCAGTCGCTGAAGCAGGTAAACGAAAACAGTTGGTGGAAAACGACTGATACGAACAATATAGTACAGTGTTGCTGCTTGCTCACCTCAACAACTCATGAAAACGGGTTGGGCACCGCGCCAAATGAAAGCAGTGACACGCCTTATGTCCGCGGAGAACTGTGCTGTATAATGGCCATCCCGCAACGTCGCAGTAAGGCGGGGCGGTGTGGAAGGGGCGGAATGACCCCTGCCTCCACCTGCCTCGCCTTACCACTGGTCATCAACCAGTGATCGACTCATGAAGAAAACAACCAGGAGTGAAAGCGCCGCGGGTGTGCTCATTCCATCCTCCTTGGAAACACCCTGATTGATTGCGACGTTATCAGCTGTAAATGTATAGAGACATACCTTGAATCTCGAGGCGACCAGGAACTCATAGACACGTCCGTGCACAACTCGGCTTTGCCACATGAAAACTTTGTTTTTCCGATGGCGGCTAATAGCGTAGTTAGCGGTCCCATATGATTCCCTGGATGTGGACGCCACTACGCGACGATTTTGGCACGGCGCCGTGCCTTTCATTTTTGGCTTGATATCCGCCGCCTTGCCAGTTGTGTTTAACGCGTCACGATAATAATCAACTGGCTCTGAAAAAAATCACTAAGGCAAGCGCAACCTTTACAAACCATACAGTACACGTGAACAGTTCATGAGATCGATCGCGGAGCGAAATGTAAAAAAGCCTCGAAGCGAATTTGAGAGGATGTCGCGCACTTTCAGAGAGGAATACTCGGAGTTACCTACTCGCACGAGTATCTTCATCTACTCAAAATGAGAATTCAATAGAAGAGGGTGCAAAACACATCCCAAGACAAATGCAGACCACGACTCAACAATGCCAGTAGCCTATATATCCGCAATATTTCGTCGACTCTCTCCGTAATTTCGCGTCGATTGCTCAGCAGAAGAAACTCGTCCGCAACGGAACGCCACGAACAACCTATTGAAATTGACGGTTATCTCAACTGTTTTGAAAATCTCCTCGCTTTTTATCAGTGAAAGCATTGCTTTTAATTTCTCTTTTCAGTTTGTGGACATTGTCTCTTTCTATAGTGTTCTCGAGGATGTTTTTACTCTTAGTTCTTATTACACAGCCACACAGTAGCCCTCTGTGATCAGTAAGAGTATTCTCCCTTGCTCATTGAGATCCCACTAGATAGTCCTGCTTGAGTATAACGCTTACAGTTTTGTTCGCTGCAAATGATGCAAGCCCAAATGATGCAAGCAGCTTGTTAAGGGGCAAGCCTAGCGCTCGGCCCTGCTTTTTTTCGGCGATGCGACAAGCACTGTCATATAGTTCGTATCAGTCGTTTTTCACCGATTATTATCGATCACCCGCTTCAACAAATGGTGAGAGCGACGCGCCAACCCATTCCTCACCAAAACAGCCTCGCTGACACGCCCATCATCTTGGAGCGCGAAACGAGATTGTTCTTGTGTAGCATCCTATCCTTGGTCTACGAAACCAATATCCGAGGTTTTCCGCAGGGAGGCTTTCCATCGTCCTATTACTTCTCTGCTCTTAAGGTCTTCCTTAAAGACAAGGTCTCCGCGATCAAGTGAAAACAGGTTAGCAAGGTGGCTCAGTCATGAACCAGTAGCTCATCAAAAAACACACCAGTAGAGAAAGAAACGAAAAAAAGTTCGTGAACACCCTGAGCACAGGCCACACTAACAGTGGAGGCTGGCGTGACGGAGAGTTTACTATCTGACCGGACGAGTCTAATCAGTCAGGATTCTAGGCAAGAACAAGACACATCGCGCCGCGCTCCACAGCCGACTTCCCGGACAACGTCTATGTACAACAGCAAGGCACAATCGTTGTTGAGGAATCCGCCTATAAGGGGGGATCGTGTTCATGGGTGAGCAAACAATTTATTTTGACAGTTTCTCAAAGCGTTAATGGACGGCTGTGTGAAGGGGGGGGGTACTTTGAGACATTGTTTGGTACAAGGGGGGTCGTATTGTCGTTTTCGCTAGTTGTGGGAGTGGCGGAGTTGTTCCTTGGATTATGGTCGTATTATGCGACTATACGAATGCCCCCCCCACGGAGTCGAAAGCAAAATTTTGTTGGTAAAAAGTTGGGAGATTTTCGGCAGAATTCCTGGAAGAAAGCGGGCCTTAAGTTGGGGAAAATCTGGTTGAGAGGGGGGGGCGGTCGTATTGTATCTGCGCTTTTCCTCAAGTTTCACATGTGCTAAATCCCCCCCCCCCCTTTGGCTCAACGCTCGATTCGATGAGGAAGGACAGAGGGCTGGGGGAGGGGGGGGGGTTCGTACCAACTCCAAAAAAGGGCAGGGTCGTATAGAGTCGACTTAAAATCCCCAACCAATGATGTGCCCTGGTACACACATTGCAACTTCCCGCATGTAAGCTTCTTGTCTAAGAATTAGCCAGTGCGAAGTGTTGCTCACCGCTTGCAAAAACTCGCGCGCTCATCTAGCTTTGGCTATCTAGCTATTTCGAGTGACGAAAAGTGCGCTTTCGGCTGTCGGAGCGCGGACAACGATACAATACACACGAGCTGTTTTCGCTGATCACTTTGATCTGAGGCGGAAGTGTCTTAGAGGCCTTGAACGTGGAACCTACTGTTTTGGTGGGGCATGCCTTCAAGTATCATGGGCGCAGATGCTGAGTTCTAACAAGGAATTATGAGCACCATAATAGTTTATAACCTCCATAGAACTTTTTCAGGTGTGTTCCATATAAGCAAGGGGTTTTTTAGTTCTAGCGCATCAGGTCAATTTAAAAACTATGACAGAGGTGTACAAAGATGTTGATGTACCCTGTCCAAAGTTCCCTCTTCCAGACTCAAATGTAGATTCTCATCCTCTGGCTCACGTTCGCTTGGGCGGCGTTCAGACTTCGCCTCATCGCGCTACCACTGCAATAGCGCTACAATACTATAGTCGCTAACGCAGCTTGGGGCGGATATCGATCAGCAACGGGCGCTGGTGTTTGAGAGAGACAGGATTAACAGGTGTACCGCTCCAGAGTCCTCTCCATCTCCCCTGGCTCGCCATATGGTTTTTGCACTTTTCGAACTTTTGGCGGCAGCTGAACTCTATCTGTCTGCTTTACAGCGTTTCTTAACATCACCTCACCGAGAAGTGCAAGTTGTCACGTAACCAGCAGAAGGGGTAAGTGCTGCTTTCAGTAAACCTTGACCCTACCGTTCAAGTCGTTTCTATGTACTGTTTCTGTCAGTGCCAGACTGTGGGGTTAGATGGCGCCTACCCTCATGTTGACTTTAAACTTTCTCAAAATACAAGCAGCCAGCGCCGATCGATACCCGTCTGCGGCTGCGTTCGTTTCGGCGATGCGACAAGAGGATCGTAATTCGCCGCCGCTGCTGGGCGTCGCGTGCGACGTCTCGTCTGCAAAGGACGATGGTTCCAGGTAGCAGATGGTGGCGTGGCAACATGCAATCAATGACCGAAAACAGTAATGATTGTCTACGATGACGGGGTCTACATGAAGTCCGGTGCTCCATTCGACAGGTTAAAACGAGTTATGAAAACGCCGCGCCCATCGCCGCGCGTGGCGGTGCGGCGAATTACGATCCTCTTTACCGTCTCCCGTTCCGTTCTAGTGTAGCATCGGGGTGACACCGCCTGTGGTAGCACACGTCATCGCGAAGTCTGAACGCTGCCTGACTTTAATTTGATTTTTCATGTTTAATCTGCACCAGACTTACAGTTTTTAGCAACTTTAGAACCATAAGTGCAGTTTTTTTTACAGCTGTAGAACTATGAGTGCGATACTACTAGTTTCTGCTACTTCTTTACGTTTTCAGAAGCATGCTCCGGAACGCATGGCGTGCTGGCGGTGTTATAGCCGTAGCCGGTGGCTCTTTTCTCCTTGGTGCTCGATACGGGAACGAAAACCCTCTTCGAAGCGCTCATGCTGCTACTGCATTATCTGTGAGTAAATCTTTCGTTTCAAATTTTTATTACTCTTCTTCTCGGGTTACAGGCACTGTCGTGTAATGGGAGCCCTTAATAATCAGTCATTCATACCTTGCGACCCAAAAAGGGAAAAATCGTGGGATCGGGAGAATCGGAGATTGAGCATACAAGTATAACATTTCGCCGAAGCTTCCATTACTTCAGGTCTTGATGCAAGTCTATGCTGTTGCCGTGACCTGTGCTTTTCGCTGGTTCTATTTTTTCCCGATCACGAGTTCTCCAGTACTTCAGCTTCGTTTCGCTAGATATGCAAACATCCTAAGGCTGTCTTGGTTAACGTGGCGAACCACTGATCCTGCCATTCTACAAAGTCTTCGGATCGATATCCATGCTTTTCTTCGGCGTGCATTCTCCTACCCTCCTATCCTCTCTCGGCAAAGTGTGAACCAACCTGATGATTACGAAATCTGTCGGTATTTTCGTTACACATCATCAATGTAGAGGTCAGACAAGAATCTGCGGCGCTGGGATGCACGCTGGATCGATATCTATACCCTTCTGGTCGCTCGAAACGCTTCCGTGCGCTCGAAGCTCTCAAAGCGCTGCCGTACGCCCGAAACGCTGACGCGAATTATGAACGCGACCTCAAATGGGTTTGGAGGGCTTGCACGGCAAGGCGTCGACGTCTCATTTCCTCTACTAGCATCATTGTCACTGTGAGCGAGGCGCATAGAACCAGCCTAACAGCCCATTCACGAAAACCAGACAACCGCGCCATGTTCTGGCCTCTCCGAACTGTGTAAGTGAATTAGTTGTTGGATTGAGCTTACTGTAGTCATCATGTGTAGAAAGGCAGAAGGGTTGCCATGAAGGGAACAGTCATTATCTAATGTCTCCAGACAGCCTCCGCCTTTATACTGCTGCCCCATTTCTGCCCCGTTCCTCGGGTACTCTAGCCAGTTTTCGTTTCATGTTCTAACTGCTAATTCACATTCGGCAACAGTTGTAGACTATAAATAAACCAGCCTTTTTAGCCTGTTCCCACCCTGCCGCCACTGCAGTTAGAGCCAGCAGTACAGGCTAAACCGAGCTACGAGATGGGTCCATCTCGTGCCTCGGAAATTATGCGCTACGGTTTTCCAGGCTTCGACAATCTGCGCACTTTTGAAGATTTTGTGCTGTCGTATGATCGTAAAACGCGAACAGCGCATTGGGTGAGCATAACTTCAGATTTTTGATGAAGGAGCATAGAAAAACGGAAAAGGCTTGCAGGTGTGCGAACACTTAACGCCGTCAAGGTTGATCTATGATCCGTCGGTAGACCGTTCAAAATGCGAATTCCGTTCAGATCCCAGCATACACAAGTATTTCCAGTCGGAGAACACAGACTACAGGGTGGGTTTTTCAACTGTTCCCTATGTTAACTCGGTTTTCTGTTGTGTTTTTACTCTCACTCAATATTTTGCTTTTTTCGTTCTTCTGAGTAAAAAGCGGTACGCCTGGCGACAGTTGCACATTCCCGTGCCGACTCCTCCTTCACGTACAGTCGTGATCCCTGCATATGATAGGACGTGCGGGGGGGGGAGGGCTTGGATTGCAGTGCTGGCAAGGCAGCTTTCCTTGAATGATGCTACCCTGTTGTGGAGTCCGCAACTATTGATGGGAAGGACTATCTGGCCGTGGATTGCAAGGCCTGCCGCCCGTAGACCACTACTGTTTCAGGGGATACGACTGTAATGTAACGACTCCGCCCTGTCTTGCCTGTCTGATCCATAGCCACACCTCAAACATGCCTAGCGCATCCCGCGAACTGCCGCCTCAGTCTATGCACCATACTCTAACCTAGCAAACTATTAGGGTGTCCATAAAGTTCTGTTTCGCCATATCTGTAAACCAGCGTCGCGTTTACGCCAACGCGTTGTGATTTGGCATATGATTTCGGCATACTCGAATACTTCGCGACGGGCTATCCTCCTGCAGCTAGCTAGCTCTAAATTTCCTTTCCTGCTCTTCCCACAATAAAGCAGTGAAGATGAGTGATAGTCACCACCACCGCCGATGTTTGCTGGACTACTACAACCTGGGCATCTCCAGACGTCAGGCCACGACCAGGATGCGTCAGCAGTTTGGTGATAACACCCGTTCTAAGAACGATGTTCAAATGTGGGCGATCGCCTTCACCAATGAAAACTATGCATCGAAGATATGCCGAGGTTTCTGGTTCTCTCGCCACGGCGTCGTCCACTACAGCATCCTACCCAACAATGCCACAGTGACGGCAGAGACCCTCTCTAAAGAATTGCAGGAGGTCAAGGTGAAAGCTGCCGCCTTGTCCCA